CAAGCTCTTCTAATGTGGGACTCAAACTCATGAACTGTGAGATCATGACCTGAGTCGAAGCCAGATGTTTAACTGAGCCACCCAGGTGCCCTGTTCTGCCCATTTCTTAACTGGATTATTTGTTTTTTTTAGGTGTTGAGTTTGATAAGTTCTTTATAGATTTTGGATACTAACCCTTTATCCAATATATTGTTTGCAAATATCTCCTCCCATTCTGAACAGTTACCTTTTAGTTTTGTTGATTGTTTTCTTTACCATGCAGAAGATTTTTTGTCTTGATGAAGTCCCAGTAGTTCATTTTTGCTTTTGTGTTGCTTGCCTCTGGAGATGTGTCTAGTAAGAAATTGCTATGGCCAGTGTCAGAGAGGCTGCTGTCTATGTTCTTCTCTAGGATTTTGATGGTTTCCTGTCTCACATTTAGGTCTTTCATCCCTTTTGAACTTATTTTTGTGTATGGTGTAAGAAAATGTTCCACTTTCATTCTTCTGTATGTTGTTGTCCACCAATCCCAACACCTTTTGTTGAAGAGACTTGTCTTTTTTCCATTGCATATTCTTTCCGGCTTTGCTGAAGATTAGTTGACCATATAGTTTGGGTCCATTTTTTGTTTTCTATTTTGTTCCATTAATCTATGTGTCTGTTTTTGTGCCAGTACCATACTATCTTGATGACTACAGGAAAGCAGGATCTTGAAGAGATTTGCACACCCATGTTCATAGCAGCACTTTTCCCAATAGCCAAGAGGTAGAAACAACCCAAATGTCCATTGATGGATGAATGGTTAAGCAAAATGTGTTATGTACACAGTGGATTTTTATTTACCATGTAAAAGGAAAGGAATCCTGTCACATGCTACACCATGTATCAACCTTGATATTAATGCTAAGTGAAAAAAGCCAGTCACAAAGACAAAAACTGTATGACTCTACTTACATGAAGTAGATCTAAAGTAGTCAAATTCTGGGTGCCTGAGTGGCTTGCTTGGTTAAGTGTCTAACTCTTGATCTCAGCTCAGGTCTTGATCTCAGGGTTATGAGTTCAAGCCCCACGTGGGGCTTCACTCTGTGTGTGGAGCCTTCTTAAGAAAAGAAAAGTACTCAAATTTGTAGAAACAGAAAGTGGAATGGTGATTGCCAGGGACTGAGGTGATGTAAAAAGAGGGAATTGTTGTTTAATGGGTGTAATTTCAGATTTACATAATGAAAAGTTCTGGAGATCTAGTTCAGAATGATAGGAATATATTTAACATTACTGAACAGCACACTTAAAAATGGTTAAGATGATACATTTTATGTTGTGTTTTTTACTGTGATTAAAGAAATGAAAGAGGAGTGAAGAATTGGGACCAATAACTCAATTTTCTACAAATATTAAAGTTACAGTTTTTCTATCAAGGAATTTACAACATGGCAGGAATTCAATTAGTTAAATAAGTAATAGTAGTGTTACAGTAAATACTATGATAAGCATAGACTATTATAGGAACACAGAGATAATGTTTAAAGGAGTGTTGGAGAATGATGATGAAGTCGGGAGGAATTCGGGGCAAACAAAGGAGGGGTTCTTAGTGGATTAAATACCTCTGCCTGGAGAGTTAGGCAAGGATCAGATTCTGAAGGGTCTAAAGTGCTGTGCTAAGGTGTTTTTTTGTTGTTGTTTTCAGTCCTTAAGGCATTGGGGAACTATTGATTTTGAGCCTGTCAGTTACATGATCAGAATTAATTTTTAGGAAGATTGCTGGCAGCAGTGAAAAGATAAATTAGAGATTTTAATAGTTATTCAGACCTTAAAAAGACAATTGACAAATCATAGATACTTAAAGAAATAGAATCAGTAGGAATTGCTGATGGTTTAGTTAATTATAGGGAGTTTAGGAAAAAAGAAAAGTTTAGTGTGATTTACATGTCTGGCTTGGACAGCTATATAGGTACAGACTTGATAAGAAAAGGAATGTTTGATTAGAAATGAGTGGTTCAGGAGATGCCTGGCTGTCTTAGTCGGTTAAGCCTCTGACTCTTGATTTCGGTTCAAGTCAGGATCTTGTGGTTCGTGAGTTGGAGCCATGTGTCCGTCTGTGCTGACAGTGTGGAGCCTGCTTGGGATTCTATCTCTCCATCTCTCCTTGCCCCTCCCTCACGTGCTCTTTCTCTCCCTCAAAATAAATATTTTTAAAAAAGAAATAAGTAGCTCAGATACAGAATTTATCCTATAGTATTTAGTGCATACCTACTATGTGTTAAGGACCTATTCTGAAATCTGAGGATACAACATTGAACAAAGGAGACAAATTCTTCCTCCTTTAGAGCTTATGTTCTGGGACGACTATAAGAAATAAATAAACTGTGTAACACGTTAGATTGTGATTTCTTAGCCAAACAAAATCAATCCCAGAAGAGGAATTGTGGGTCAGTTTAAAGTAGGGTGGTCAGTGAAGATTGCACCTATGAGGTATCTGAACAAAAAACCTAATGAAGGTGAATGTAGATGTGTAGAGTGTTTCAGATTGAGTAACAGTAGGTATAAAGGCCTGGTATGTTTAAGGAACTGCAGAGAGACCAGTTGAGGGAGAAGGGAAAGTATTATAAAGGAAGACTAGTAAAGAGATGAGGTTGGGGAAGAAATAGGTACCATGAAACATAAGAATAACTTTTATGTTGTTACCCAGGGTACCAAGTTGATTCTTTTCTGCTTAGGAATTAAAGTTTATTTTCATTATCTAGGTCTTAAGACATTCTCATAGCATCTTGTACCTTTTTTTATAGCACTTAGCATAACTTAAATGTGTGCTTAGCATAGTGCCATGTGCTTAGCCATAAAATATTTGTTGAATAAAGGAATAATACTTGCTTTCACTTGGTAGCTTAGATCTGAATATTAAACTAAGTTTAATGCAGAGTTCTTTTGAATGTGGGTGGGTGCTTTAAGCATTTGGAGTTAGGTTTATGTTTGGTAGGTTTTTTGTATGTTTTACAGTATAGGTACCTTACCAGTGCTGGAAAATACTGCTGGAAAGCAATAATAAAATTGAGTTTACTTTAAATGGGCATTAGCAACGGTCTGCCTTTGGAAGGACAGTTCTCAAAGTTATTAGTTAAGACTCTTATCTTGGTGATTATTTTAGATTTTACTCTTACTCCAAAGCAAATGTCTGTAGGCTTTGTAATTACTCAAGCAGTAGCTGTTCCAATAGGATTAGTCTTTCAGTCAGATGAGAAACAAGCTTAATATATTTATTAAAATAGTTCAGATACTTTTATTTCCTGTTAAAAAAACTGTTTGGCTTTATCAATAATGTGTCAGTAAGGCAGGGGAGGGAGGTTAAATGCAGTGTGGTATCTTGGATTGGATCCTGAAAAGGAAAAATGCCATAAGTGGAAAATCCAAAATGACTGGAATTAATGTACTGGTGTTAATTACCTGCTTGACAAATGTAGCATGATTATGTGAAATGTTTAACGTTAGGGCAAACTGGGTAAAGGGTATATGAGAACTCTTTGTGATACTTTTGCAGCTTTTCAGTAAACTTAAAGTTATTCCAAAAATAAATTTGTTTTTAAAAAAAAAAGCAACAGAAGCTACTGGGGTGGGGAAAGATACAGTAATCGTTGTAGAATTCATAATTTTTAAGAAGGTAAAATTAATATAATTTAAACAGTACATTCCCTAGAAGTAACCAGGTTTAGTTTTCTATTTTTCATGTTTTAACTTTTTTGCTTACTACTTCTGGTGGTTACTGCCATAATTCCAGCAATGCTTATACCTCTAGGCCTTGATTAACTAACTTTAGACAGTATCTGATTCTTTACCATGAAAGATGATTTGCTTTATTAGTTGTATTTTTGTCAGTTTTTCTGTTGGTTATCTTTTTAACTTGAGTGATATGCTTAAATTTCAGTTTCTTGCTATTTTTATCAGCTTCAGACAATCTTTTGCCTCCGTGGGGGGGGTGGGTGGGTGGGTGGGTGGGTGTGTGTGTGTGTGTGTAATGAAGAAATGATCAGCTCTGCGTTACTCTTCACCTCCTTCTGACTTCTTGTTTTCCCACTTTCTTAGCTCTATTATTACTTTTAATATAACTTAATTTATTGTGTCCTTGACTTGTCCAGAAATAACTCAAGAGGGTTTATAGAAATATACAACAGATTTTTAGTTTATTAATGGTTATATTTTAAAGAACTAGTTCTTTAAGACAAATTCTTAAGATAAATGTGTGGAGAAGAAATAAGAAAAGTGGATTCTTCTTAATGTACAGTCTCCTCTTCTGGGCCATTTGACCTTTCTAAATTTTATCATAAGGATACATGTGCTTTCCTCTTGGGAACTTTCATTTTACCAGCCATATCTAAATATCATAAGATGTTCTGTATATAATTTTGATTCTAGGATGCCTTCAATTGTGAGACCCATCATGGCTTTAAAGTACCTTATCATTGGGGGTCAGGGGAGGGCAGTACATTAAATGCTTGACTAATGGTATGCAGCCCAATTTCAGAAATAAAAAAATGAGAAAATATAGTTGTATTTAATTTCTCATATAGAAGAGAAAATAAACAAAAATAAAAATTAGGTCATCCTTAATTCTATTGCACGCCTAGATTTTTTTTCACCGAGGGAACCTTTCTTAAAAAATTGAGATTATACCATTTTGGTAGCCTGTCCTTTCCATTAAACTCACTCCCCTTTTACTCCACCTATACTTATTTTGGTGGCTATATTATAATGGTATGTGTGGGTGTACCTAACTTGTTTACTGATTCCTTTATTTAGTTCTTTCTACTGTAAACAGTGCTATGAAGAACATTTCTTAAAACTAAATCTTGGCTCATATCTGTGATGCTTTTTTGTTTTGTTTTTTTTCTCCCCTTCAGATAATGAAGTAGAATTTCTGGGTTCAAGAGAATGTGCGTTTTTGTAGTATAACTTATTAATAAAGAAAAGCAAGTTAACTTATTTTTTGGCTATTAATCATCACTAAAATATAACTTTTTCTTCTTTATTAGTGAACACTTGTCCTGCTCTTTCACCTTTTTCTTGCATGGAGACAGCAATGTTTGTACCAGTGTGGAAATTAACCAACATCAACCTGTATACCTTCTTAGTGAAGAGCATATCACCCTTGCTCAACAGTCTAATAGTCCATTTCAAGGTAGATTATTTTATTGGCTTAGATATTTCATTTGTCTCAGGAAAATTCTTATTATAGTTGGTAATCTTAAATTTTGGAGTTAATGAGAATTCCCCTGATCTTTAGCCTAGCGATGATTCTAATGTAGTTTATTTTCTTCTTCCGTGTTAGAGTTTTAAGTCAGTGAAAACAAGTCAATGAAGCAAGTTTTTTAATACAAATATTATTTGAAAAAATTTTTGTACATGAAAGTATATTTTAAAGTGTTCTTTTAAATAGCATTTAGCAGATATACATGTTCATGTTTTCAAGGTCATCTTTTGTGTGCAGTCACATAAGCCATTTTTAATGTTGGTACACAGGGACTTTAATAATATTTATACACGATTGCTGATTTATTTTTAAGGACTGGCAGTGTGTTCTTGTTTTAATTCTAAGCCTAGTATTTCCTTTTTTAAAATTTACGTGGCAGTACATAATAAGTATACACACACATTGTTTTGTTTTCTCAAATTGCTTTCTTAGTAGAAATCAAGAGAAGTTGAAGGATGTACATATATCCCCAACTCATGTTGAAATTCTGTCTATGTGAGATTTTTGAGTGAACGAAATTTTAAGATTTAAAATTAAAAAAAAAAATTTTTTTTTTTAACGTTTATTGATTTTTGAGAGACAGAGAAAGACAGAGCATGATCAGGGAAGGGGCAGAGAGAGAGTGAGACACAGAATCTGAAGCAGGCTCCAGGCTCCGAGCCGTCAGCACAGAGCCTGATGCGGGCTTGAACTCACGAACCGTGAGATCATGACCTGAGCCGAAGTCAGACACTCAAACGACTGAGCCACCCAGGCACCCCTAAATTTTAAGATTTTATAATAAATTCAATATTGTGGTTTATCTTCACAATAATGAAATACAGTGAATTTTCTCTGGAATGATCATTTTGGGTTTCCTTTTCCTTTTTAGAATTGCACAGTTACTTGTCAGACTATGCTGTGTGATCTTATTTGGTGTAACAGTCTTTAGTTACTTACTTCATGTCTCTTGGGTTTCTAGTAATCTTAAGCCCATTTGGACTAAATGGCACACTCACAGGACAAGCATTCAAGATGTCTGATTCAGCTACAAAAAAATTGATTGGTGAATGGAAACAGTTCTATCCTATCTCATCTTGCTTAAAGGAGATGTCTGAAGAAAAACAGGAAGATATGGATTGGGAAGATGATTCTTTAGCTGCAGTAGAAGTTCTTGTTGGTATGGATTCTGAGTATTAATTCTAAGGGAAAAATATGTGACTATATGTATTAGTTAGATTTTGTTGAATAATAAACAATTCATATACCTCAGTGGCTTTCAACATTAAACATTTATTTCTCCTTTATTTTCTCCTCACATTACATAAAGACTGCAGCTTGGTTGTGGTTTGGCTCCTTGTATCTTCTCATTCTGCAACCTAGGTTCAATGAGTACCCAGTATCTGGGACATGCTGTTCTTACAAGAACAGAGGAATAATAAGGACTGAGTGTATCATGTAAGTGTATTTAAAGCTTCTGCTAGGATATGATGTATGTTACATTTGCTCACACTCCATTAGGCAGAACTAGTCACTTTGCCATGCCAAAGTCATTGGGGCAAGGAAACATATTTCACCTAGAGGTAAGCTTGCAAAGCTTATCATTGCAAAGAAAATAATTGTGAATAAATAACATTTGGAAGCTGGAAAGTTGACAACCTGTGTTATGTAGTATTTTCACATTTCTTAAAACTGTTGCCTCTGATAACTTTTAAAAGGTAGAAAATGTACCTAAAGAACTTGTGGGTTTGATCTGCTCTGCCCAGGTCAGCTCTTTTCATATTGACTCTACCCTGTGTCTTCTCATTTAGGGACCCAGATTAACAAGATAAACTATATTTGGGACATGCTAATCTTGAGGCAAAGGGCAGAAAAAAAGAGAGGCTGCTTCTGTTTTAAGCTTCTGTTGGATTCTGGTCTATATTGCATGCAGGTCACACAGCCAAGCCTAATAATGGGATGAAGATGGGAGGTTGTGGAGAATGTATAATTGAGCAGATAATTAGTATTAGAGTTTGCAGCAGTGTTTAATGGAGTCTTATTCTCCTGGTTTATTCCAGAAAAACTTTATGCCAAAAGGAGCATATGTTTATAAAAATATATTAAATATATTTTAATTTTATTTAAACATTATATAATCATATGTACTTTTCCATTACAGTACTTCTGAGTGAAACTAATCCCACTACAATCACAGTGGTAATTGATTTTCTTGCCTCTTATTTTTGCCTTTCAGCTGGTGTCCGAATGATCTACCCAGCTTGCTTTGTTCTAGTCCCTCAGTCAGACATTCCCACTCCTAGCTCTGTGGGATCCTCTCATTGTTCAGCTTCTTGCTTGGGTGTCCACCAAGTGCCTGCTTCCACAAGAGATCCTGCTATGTCTTCAGTTACTCTTACACCACCTACATCTCCTGAGGAAGTCCAAACAGGTATTGTACTGATCTGTTTGATTAGCACTAGTTACGTATCTGTTATTTTGAATACATCAACATTTAAAAAATTGTTTTGAAGTAATTTGAGACTTATTGAAGAGTTTGCATGTACAATACAAAGAACTCCCTCATTCAGATTCCCAAACTGTAAACATTTGTTCCGTCACCCTTTTTGTATGTATACATTCATTATCATTGGTCTTTTTCTGAACCATTTGAGAATGAGCTACAGACATGATGCCCCATTATGCCTAAGTACTCTGTATTTCCCAAATGTAGGAACACTGTCCTATATAACTACCATTTAATCCTCAGTCAGGAAGTCAACACTGATATAACACTACCATCAAGTTTACATCCTCTGTTCGGATTTTTAGCTTTCTGTGTTTTAAGTAGAGGAACATGCTTTTTTGCTTCAAAATATAAGTAGACCTACCAGATAACAGTGGAGTATGTTGTAACAGAAATTAACAAGTAAAAAACAAAAAACAAAAAAAAACCCCACAAATAATGTTACTTTAAATCTACTTTTATTCTCCTATAGCCTATTCTTTTTGGTTTGTTTTCAGTTGATCCTCAGTCAGCCCAGAAGTGGGTCAAATTTTCTTCAGTATCTGATGGCTTCAACTCTGATAGTACTAGCCACCATGGTGGGAAAATACCCAGAAAATTAGCAAATCATGTGGTGGATAGAGTTTGGCAAGAGTGCAATATGAACAGAGCACAGAACAAGTATGTGTTTTCATTTTCAAGTTTAAAAATTGCATGTTGGTAGTTACTTTATAAATAGAAGATGTTTAAAGTATAAACAGTCGTTTGTATGGCTTTAAAAACTTTTTAAAAATTCAATTTTAATGCTTAATTCACGGTTATGGGAAACTTCTTGAATTCTAAAGAATTTTATAATTTCAAATCTTAGGAGGAAATATTCAGCTTCATCAGGTGGTCTATCTGAAGAAGAGATACCTGATAAAATAGCATCCTGGGATTTTGTAGAAGCAACACAAAGAACAAATTGCAGCTGTTTGAGGTAGTACCCCCAACCCCCCAGTTGATTGATGCCTATATATTTGTGTGTTGTAGCTTCTTACGCTACTGAATACGTCTCAGTTTTAGCTAGCTTACCTAAACATAGTGTGTTAGGATTGTTTTCAAAAGAAAATTTGAGGGGAAAAAAATTTAATAATTTGGAACTGATTATGCAAGTACATACAAATGTATGCCATAGTCCTTACCAGAACTGAACTGTGAAGGCTTGGTTTTACAGCTAAATAAAAGAGAATTTTATACTGGATTATGGTATATATAGTATCTGTAAGGTAAAAGCACAGAAGTCTCTTGAAAAGAGTTCATAGATAGCACTGGGCTGGAGAAATTTCTCCCATGGGTTCTCATAAAAAAAGATGATATATGATACACTAGATGAAAGTTTCTGCGATCCTTTTTATAGTAAATATGGTTTTGGGTTTTGTGCAGAAATTTCTTATAACATCCTTTTGGGCAAATTATATGTGAAAGAAATGCTGAAATAAGATCAGAAAAAACGATTCTGCAAGGGATTGAAGCTGTACTATAAAAGTACAAGCTTTCTAATAGACTGTGTTGGTTAAAGATTGGTAGAAGAATGGATGAACTTGGAATTCTTTTGGCAGTTGTATTTATATATTGGAAACTTTGATGAGATTTGGTTATCAGAGGCTTTCAGATTATATTGCCTAAAGTTTATTAATTTATTCTAATATGAAAGATGCGTTTGCAGTCTTGTAAGAAATAATAATAATAATAATGACATTGGCATCCCTTACCAGAACTTGTGAGCTAATAGTTAGCCACTCTTTTGTCACAGATGTGAGCCAAAGGAATGGAATACTTGTATGTTAGGGCCAAGGTTTTTCTTATATTAGCTCTGTTTGATTACTGTGACAGACTCTGAAGTGCTTTGGTATGTTTTTGTGTAGATTAAATGTATTTACATAGATTCTTTGGATTAGAGACTGTGTAATGTCTGACAACTTTGTTAAAAACTTGTTTCTGTTGCTGATAGGTTGGAATAAAAATATGGACAGATTAGCTCTTGTTTAACAGTTTAAAATGGTTAAATACCACAGCCACTTGGGTGGTTTTAAGACCCAAACCTAGTCTTAAAATGTAGAGCTCCATCACATATTTGTCTGATACCAGAGATCAGCAAACTGTGATCCATTGGTCACATTAGGTTCACTGCCTGTTTTCATATGGCCTGTGAGCTGAGTGACTTTTACATTTTAAATAGATGGAAAAAAAATCAAAGAATATTTTGTGCATGTGAAACTTCTATGAAATTCAGATTTTAATGTCCATAAAGATTTATTGGAACAGAGCCACACCTGTTCATTTACATGTCAGCTATGGCTGCTTTCACAGAATTGAGTAGTTGCAACATAGACTATATGGCCTCTGGAGCCTAAAATATTTGCCATCTGGTCCTTTATAGGAAAAGTTTGCCAATTTCTGGTCTAAGACCAGTAAAGTGTAAAGTGCTTGAATGAAGTTAGGCTTTTCTTTCCATATATTGGCATTTTTATCAAGCAGCAATTCTTTTTTAGTTGCTGACCTAGACTTTTGTTTTATTCTTTTTGAAAGATGTGGGTTTTAGGTATATTTGTCTAAAATGGTTTTAGAATGGGATGCCTGCCTGGGTGGCTCAGTCAGTTAACCGTCTAACTCTTGATTTTGGCTCAGGTCTTAATCTCAGGGTCGTGGGATTGAGCCCTGTGTCAGGCTCTGCACTGACAGTGTGGAGTGTGCTTGGGATTCCCTCTCTCTCTCTCTCTCTGCCCCTCCTCCACTCGCACATGCATACTCTCAAAATAAATACACATTTTTTTAAAAATGGTTTTAGAAGAAGACACTCAAAACGCATATTGGTTGGTAGTATAAATTTAATTCTTGGTCTCTGAGCTGAACTTTTATTTCTTAAAAACTTTGTCTCATATTTCCAGAAATTCTTCCCAGGCATAGAGGGAATTGATATAATGAAATTTTATATAATCCATACATGTGACTTGTTTTGGTAAATTTGCCCCTCTAGGAAGTAACAGTGTTTCTAATCTTTTACCCCCACCCCTCACCCCCTATTGTATTCCGTACTTCTAATTCCCCTCCACGTCCCTCAAATCAGGTTCTCTTATTTAATTCTTCAATAAGACTTAAAGTAGATTTTGAGCTACCATATGTATTATCTGCTGCCACAGAATATAGGAAGTAGGGCACACATTGATAACTGACTGTGCTAATCAGCCAGTTTGCTGTCAGATCTATCCCTGCCTTTTCCCTACTCTGTTCCGTATTGCAGGGTATTACATTTCCTAGGCTCCTTTGCTTTTTACATGGTGGGGTTTTTTTTGTTTTTTTTTGTTTTTTTTTGTTTTGCCCCCAGCTTTATTGAGCTATAAATGACAAATAACATTGTATAAGTTTAAAGTGATGATTTGACTAGGCCCTGTTGTTTTCTGGATTTGGCTAAGGTAGGCACTAACAAAAGATTGGTTCATGAAATGAGGAAAGAAGCCGGAATATTTCCCCACCCTTCTTTTGAGTCCATTCCAGCAGCAGTTCTGCGACCCATTAATAGCCTTGTCTTCCGTGGTCCACTGAGCAGATCCCACTAATGTTGTAACAGCATCCCAGGCTTCTTTGATCTGGTGATAGATACTATCTTCATCTTACTGTCCTTCTAGTCCTAGAAGTCATAGAAACCCTCTAAACCCTCTAAATAGAGAAGAAGTTACCCATGACCACTCTTAATCTCTCAACTACCTCTTCCTAGAATTGACTACTTGCCAATAAGGTATTATCTTTCCGTGGTTTTTCTGTAGTTTTATATGTGTATGTGTTTTTCTTCTCAACACACAAATATAATACTGATGTATTTGACAGCTTATTTTTTTCACTTAATGTACCTTCAGTCTTTCCATTTTAGTTACGTGTGGATCTGCCATATTATTTTTAAAAATTTCTTGGGGCCCCTGGGTGGCTCAGTCAGTTGAGCATCCGACTTCGGCTCAGGTCATGATCTCACAGCTTGTGAATTGGAGCCCTGCGTCGGGCTCTGTGCTGACAGCTCAGAGCCTGGAGCCTGCTTTGGATTCTGTGTCGCCCTCTCTCTCTCTGCCCCTAACCCACTTGCATTCTGTCTCTGTCTCTCTCAAAAATAAACATTAAAAAAAAAAATTTCTTGGTATTTTACTGAATGGAAGGTACCCCATGGTGTCTTTAATCATTTGGATTTGATGGACAAATAGGTTGTTTCAAAAAGTTTGTTTGTGTTTACTTTTATAAAAATAATACTTCTTTGACTATCAATTATTAGATTTTTTTAAACACTTATTCTATGATAGGAGATGTCCTAGGCTCAGATACACTAGTGAATAAGGCTCCTGCTATTACGAAGCCTATACATTAATGGGATAGATAATTACTTAAAAAAAAAAAAAAGAATTTTTAATTTTTTTTTTTAAATTTTTTTTTTTTTCAACGTTTATTTATTTTTGGGACAGAGAGAGACAGAGCATGAACGGGGGAGGGGCAGAGAGAGAGGGAGACACAGAATCGGAAACAGGCTCCAGGCTCTGAGCCATCAGCCCAGAGCCTGACGCGGGGCTCGAACTCACGGACCGCGAGATCGTGACCTGGCTGAAGTCGGACGCTTAACCGACTGCGCCACCCAGGCGCCCCTAGAATTTTTAATTTTTTAAAAAAATTTAGGAGTGATGCAGGGCTAGGAAGGAAAAAAATGAGGTCGGTGGTGTGATACAGAGCTGGGGGGTGGGGGGGAGCTGTTTAAACCCTTTTGTGAATTCAGGAAGATCCTACCATTTTACTCCCACTTTTTACATATAGGAGTGCTATTTTTTCTTGTGCTTTCACTGATCTGAGAAACTGTCCTCAAAATTATATTTTGCTCTTATAGTAAGCAAAAAGCACAAGATTGCTTCAGTTGGCATTTTTCAGTTATTAATGAGATTAAATATTACACATTTATTGAAATTAAGCTTTAGTCTGGTAGAATGTTCTTGAGAAAATAAGCATTTAGCAAGCTATATAAATAGAAAGTAATACAATAAATTCCAAATAAATTTCCTGAAATACTAGGAGTTAATCAATAGGAAAAGAATCTAAAGGGATCATTCTTTAGATCATCTTGAATTTTGCTTTAAAAACACAACTTTTTTTTTTAGGACAGTTCCCCAAATTGGTTGAGTTCTATTATGAAATTCATTTGCTCTCTAAAACAGACTAGCTTTAAGGAAAAGGTCTATATAGAAGAAAGGGGCTGTGACTTAATGTTACCAAAATTTTAGAGAGTCACTGCTATTCGTATATATCCCAAATTAATAGTTTCTTGTCCCAGATTAATAGTTTCTTACCCTTATAGAAGGGTAAATGAATTTATGGCTGTGTACTTTTCGTATCCCTTATATACTTGGAATATAGTTCACCTCAGATTATTGGAGATACTATCTCTCCTTAATGCCTTGTGTAACTTGACTGATTCTTAAACTTTGGTCTCATCACTCATCTGTGCTCTCAAAAATTATTGAGGACACAAAGTGCTTTTATTTATGTGGATTATATCTACTTATATCTATTTTAGCAATATCAAAAAAAATTTTTTAATGTTTTTATTTTTGAAAAAGTGCAAGTGGGGGAGGGACAGAGAGAGAGAGGGAGACATAGAATCTGAAGCAGGCTCCAGGCTCTGAGTTGTCAGCACAGAGCCTGATGCAAGGCTTGAATCCACGAACTCTGAGATCATGACCTGAGCTGAAGTCAGATGCTTAACCGACAGAGCCACTGAGGCGCCCCTGTTTTAGGGAAAAAGAA